AAAAGCAATAACTGTCGTCACTTTGGGGCCCCTGAGGCCTGAATATGCAGGATGTATCAGACGGGAGCCTCGTCAGTTAGTGAATTGCGAGAAGTCTCAGACGGAACCCTCCGTCCTTTGGGGCCCGCACGTTTGTCATCCGAGCGGGTCATCGGAGAACGTTTAACAAGCGGGATCCTCGTTTGTGAGCGAATGGCGAGGAAGTCTTAGGCGGGAGCCTCCGCCCTATGGGGCCCCCGCCGCTCACGTTTGTAATCCGAAGCCGGTCATCGGAACACTGTAACAGTCGTCACGTTTGGGCTCTTTGGGCCTGAATATGGAGGATGTTTCAGGCGGGAGCCTCGTTTGTGAATGAATCGACCGGAAATCTCAAGCGGGAGCCCCCTCCCTATGGGCCCACAGCTCACGGTTATAATCCGAGGCGGGTCATCGGAAAAGCTGTAACTGTCGTTACTTTTGGGCCCCTGAGGCCTGAAGCTGGAGGAAGTATCAGGCAAGACCCTCGTCTGTGAGCGAACAGCGGGGAAGTCTCAGGCGGGAGCCCCCTCCCTATGGGGCCCACAGCTTGTAATCCGATGCGGGTCATCGGAACCTGGGGCCTGAGCTCACGCGGCAAAGCTCGGGGCCATACGCGGTGCGCCGCTCGGGGTTCACCATGACGCACGCGTCCTACCTCACCTCCACGCTGTTGCAGGGCCAGACGCTGCGCAAGGGCGCCACCATCAACTCCGCAAGGGACGAAGACGCTGGCCTCACGGGCGCATTGGACGACCAGTGGCGGCTGCACCTCGACGTCATGCTCTCCTGCGGCCGCCGCCGCGAGAGTTCCTGGAGCGAGGACCGCCGGCATCAGCTCGCGGCAGAGCTGGGTTTCGTGCTGCCCCCCGCCTGAGCGCGGCGGCGCCCCGCTCGAAACCCGCGGGGTTGTCCCAACGGTTTGGTCTCGCGCGCCAGCGGCTCGCGGGTAGTCCCGACGGCCTGGCCCGCGGGGTTATCCCAACGGCTGCGGCGCAATGTGGCAATTAGAGATGGCGCCCGTGCTGGCCGAGGCAGCGACGGCGCCGAGGAAAATCGGCACGCGCACTCACGAAATAGAGAGGGGAGGAGGTGGCGGGGGATTCAAAAAACACAAAAGGCGAGGAGAGGACAACGTAGCGAGCGAGAGGAGAGCCTGCGCCAGGGCGAGGAGGAGAATGACGCAGAGGAGACAGTAAGGACGCTTCGACAATATCGAGGACGACGATGAGGGTAATTTCCAGATTCGCCGAGAGGACTCTCATGCGGGGTCCTACCGTCGGAGCAAGTTTCAGTCGCGGCGTTTTTGCTGTATTTCGGCCGCTGGGGCCAGTCATCGGGACCCATGGGCAATCAAGAGCGGATCCAAGGCGAAAGCTGGCCCTGGGGAAAGAGTCGGGACCCCTGGGGCCGCGGATGGGGGAGGATTCTGATGCGGGGTCCTACCGTCGGAGTAACTTTCAGTCGCGGCGTTTTTGCTCTATTTCGGCCGTCGGGGCAATCAGGAGCGGATCCAGGGCGAAAGCTGGCCCTGGGAAAGAGTCGGGACCCCTGGGGCAGCGGATGGAAAGACAAAAAACGGATGTGGGTCCCCCGAGCCACTTCCTGGCCCCTCCCAACCCGCTCCTGGCCAGCTCGTCCACCGCTCTGCCTCTGCAAATGCACGCTCCCTGTCGCACCTCCGTGGCGTGTCGGTAGGGCGGGCTGGACGTTTCGTCCGAGACCTCCTCCCCACTTATGACCCTGAGGCTTGGAATTCGCAGCAACTACAATAATGCCTGTTCATCATAGTTACGCATGCCTCTTCCGCACCAACAGTCATCTGCTCCCCTCTACGCCCTCCATTCCCCCTCGGACCCCCAGAAAACGCTCAGATATCACACACCCACACACACACACACGAACAGAAAGCTCGCTGAAATGACCCGAATTAATTTCTCCTTCATCTGCCCTTCTGCCCCCTCCTCTTCTCCTGCCCTTTCCCCTTCCCCCCCCATTCGAAAAGCCCAGGAAACATTCTGGAAAGCCGGCAGACGCTGACGACTTTCGAGAACCGCCTAAGGTTTTCCTCATCCCCTACTTCTCTCCCACCTTCTTCTTCAACAACCTCCAACAGCCACCGAAAACGCCCCAAAACCACCAAAAATCCCTCCGAGAGCCGCCCAACAGCCCCGAAGTCCGCCAAAGGGACCTGCAGGCGGCGCCGAAACTCTCCGAAGGCCGCCCGGAACCGCCGGGCATCGTCCGACAAAGACCCGGGCGAGGCGGCGGGGTGTCCGCCCGCCGTCTGCGGCGCCCGCCGTCGCTGCGGCCCGCTGGGCGACCACAGCCCGCCGCAGCCTCGCGACCCTGCGCCAGCGGCGCGCGGGCGGCAGGCCGGAGACCGCTTCGGGACCTCTCCAGCAGCCGGCCGCCAGCGCCGCCCCCGACAGGAGCACGCTCAGCCTGGCCGCGCCCGCCAGGCCAGCTGGGGGCGCCGCACCACCTGCCCCCCGTCTGCCCTCAGACTGCCACGGACATGGCGAAGGGAAGGCAGCGGAGCTGCCGGTGCGGTTCGCTTCGGCATCGCCATCGCCATCCAGTTTCCGCCCCCCTCGCACACTCTGCCATTTCCTTCTCCTTCTCCTCCTCCTCTTCTCTCCTCTTCCTCCTCCTCCTCCTCCTCCTCCTCCTCCTCCTCCTCCTCCTCCTCCTCTTCCGCCTCCTCATCCTCCTCCTCCTCCTCCTCCTCCTCCTCCTCCTCCTCCCTCCTCCTCCTCCTCCTCCTCCTCCTCCTCCTCCTCCTCCTCCTCCTCCTCCTCCTCTCTCTCATACTATTACCTTTCTTATGTGTAATATCAGTGTTGGTATTATTACTGCTAGCGTCATTCGTAACATTATTATTATTAATAATACTATGATTACTGTTATCCCTCTTCAAATTCGTATAAGTAGTATTGCGATGTGCTCCTTAGTACTATTATGTAAGTATTATTATTGCTGATACGAGTATTAACATTATTGTTCTTAGTGCTACTAGTAGTATCATTAATACTAGTACTGTTCGTACCATTCGTCTGGTTAGGAGTCAGTTTCTTATTGTGTGTATTTATATTAGTATTCGCACTATCATTTCTATTCGTTTTCTTACACTCCTCTTATTAGTATTACTATTACTGTTCTGAATATTCAAAGTGCGTTGTGATTGCTGCCATTGGAGCCTTATTATCCTTGGTATCATTATTCTCCGCACCAGTACTGAGAATGCTCTTATTAGTATGACGAAAAATAATGTTAGTATTGGCATTCTCCTTCTTAACATTATTATCATTATTGATATAGTGTGTCGTGTTGCTGCTACTACTATTGGTAAGACGATCATTATTACCCTTATTCTTAGACTTAGTACTACTATTACTCTTAATATTCTTAGACACGTTCGTAATATGCAATGTACTAGTATTGTTGTTGTGTTGATTACTCATAGTATTGTCGTATTGCTATGATTGTCATTATTAGTAGAAGTCTTATTATTGCCATGTTCCGCATTACTAATACGATCCTTACGATATGTATGTTCATTATTATTATCACTCTATTTCTTAATCATTATGAACCTTATTATTGTGATATGTGGCATGTTCCTTCATTTTCTTCTTATTCTTATTACGGATGTTCCTCATCCTCCTCCTCCTCCTTTCCCTCCTCTTCCTCCGCCTCCTCCTCCTCTTCTTACGTTTCTTTTCTTCCTTAGTATGAGTCCTCTTCTTCTGTTTGTTTTACTGTTTGTCATTATTACTAGTACTAGCATCGCCATTCGCATTCTTGTTGTTATGTTTCTTTTTCGTATTCGTCATATTTTTCGTATTTTCGTCGCATTCTTATTTGTAACATTGTCCTCCTCCTCCTCCTCCTCCTCCTCCTCCTCCTCCTCCTCCTCCCCCTCCTCCTTTTCATCCTCCTCCTCATCATCATCGAGAGAGAGAGAGAGAGAGAGAGCGCGCGCGCGCGTTTCACGGGCGTTTGCGTTGGGAACATTCGGCGGCGCGTCTCGAACCGGTGGGTGGGACCCTCCAACACCCGGCGCCGTCGATCAGAACCACGGGGACTCCCTTCCCCCAACCCCACCCCATCCGGACCCCCCCCCCTCCCAAGGGGGGGTGCACACCCCCCCTAACCCCCCGGCGCCAGCGCCGGCTCTGGCGGCCGCCAGCAGCGCTGACGGCAAAGACGCAACGACGATGACCATAGGCAACCCAACGGGGGGAGGGGTTGTTCCAAACACCCCCGCCACCACCCCCCCCGCGCTGGCGCCAACGCCGCCGCCAGCGCCGGCGACGGCGGGGACGCACCGACGATTACCACCACTACCACCACTACCACCACCACCACCACCTCAACCCACCACCACCAACAATAACACACCACACAACCACCACCGCCGCCACTACAGCCACCACCACCACCACAACCATCACCACCACAACTCACCACCACCACCACCACCACAAAACCCACCACCACTACCACCACCACATTCCACCACACTACCACCACCACCGCCACAACCACCACCACTACCAGCAACACAACCCACCACCACCACAAACCACCACACCGCCACCACCACCACCGTCACCACCACCAGCACCACCTCCACAAACCAACGCCACCACCACAACCCACCACCACCAACACCTCAAACCACCACCACACCACCACCAAACCACCACCACCACCACCACGACCACAACCCACCACCACCACCACAACCACAAACCACCACCACACCACACACCAAACCACCACCACCACCATCCCCACCACCACCCACCACCACACCACCACCACAACAAACCACCACACCACCACCACAACCACCACCACCGCCACCACCACCACCTGAACCCACCACCACCACCACCACCACCACCACCACCACCGTCGTCCTCGTCGACGCTCCCCGCCGCCGCCGCCCGCCGCCGCAGGCAGGGCGCCGGCCCAGAAAAAAAAATCGTCGTCCCCGCCGCCGCCGCCAGCCGGCGCCGACGCAGGCGCCGGCCCGAGGAGAGGGAGGGAGGAGAAGTAGGGGAAGAAGGGGAGGGGAGGGGGTGGGGTTCGAACCCCCCCTCCATCCAGGGGGGTGGGGTGCGGTTCCACCCCCCCCCCCAAACGACCACAAAACGCACTCTCTCCTCCTCATCATCATCATCATCATCATCATCATCATCATCATCATCATCATCATCATCATCATCATCATCATCATCATCATCATCATCATCATCATCATCATCATCATCATCATCATCATCATCATCATCACCATCATCATCATCATCATCAACATCATCACCATCATCATCATCATCATCACCATCAGCATCACCATCATTATCATCAGCAGCATCACCATCATCATCATCATCATCAGCATCATCATCATCAACATCATCACCATCATCTTCATCACCAGCATCATCATCCCCCTCCTCGTTATCTTCCTCGTGTTCTTTCTTCTCCTCCTGAAAATACGTAGGAGCCGAATTATGAAAAGACAAGATGACACTTGAGCCAAACGCCGTCGGCAAGAGCGAAGACGACTTCCCAGGAATCCCTATAGTAGCCTGCCGCATAATACTACGAATCACTGGTGATACCTGCAAGCGCGCGGATGCGACATGTCTACACCCTTCTTCGGCGGACGATGGCCGCCGCACATGCGATTCGAATCAGATCTGAGACCCAAATCTAAACACAACGGGTTCGGCAAGGGAACGGCGCGCACGGGCCACGTCTCAAACATATATACAAAGAAATGTTTCGGGCGTATAAACGCGCAGGGTTTTCCCAATATGGAAAACGCTAAGTTTAGGTGTCGCAGAGCACCAAGTTATGCAGAATGATTCACATTTGTTGTAGTGTGTATGCTGGTCGACGAGCACCCGGATCTCAACAGACCCTGAACTTAAGTTTCCTGCAAGTCGACACGTGGCCATAACCTGGATATGGCCTAAGCTACCACTCCGTAGCGGGCGCGAGCTCGCTTCTTCCTCTCCATCACATGCGTCGATTGGCGCCGAGCATATGCACGGGCATGATGCCACTGGTCGCAGGTTGAACCATAGCATATGCAAGGTTCTGATGTGTTCCAACGTTGACCACTTTGGACACGTTGGTGTTTCCTTGCCGTACTTCCTTGTCATAAGGCTGACAGACTTCGATGTGTTTGATGTGGCTTCGCCTTCCGGCAACGGCAACGGCTGCGCGGGCGTCGCTCTTTAACGACAAGATGCTGCAATCAACATAGCAAGATGTGAGAACGGTTTGTAGCCCGAAAGCGTCCGAACCATCTTTCACCATTCCACAATACTCTGCTTCTACAAAAGATAGCGCCACTACACTCTGGGTCCATCCCCACGATTGCATCCAATTTAATTCCCACATCACCGCTGCTCCGCTTGCCGACTAACTGCGCCAATGCAACGGGCAAAGCAATTGCTAGTCCACGCGGTAAACTCCATAAGACGCGATACAAATACTGAAACCCACACCCCAGGCTGGGAGCGACACGCAGCGCGTGAGCTCCTTGACCGAGCACGGTGCGTCAGAAAGCTATACCCTGGCCACCAGAGCTTGCGATGCTGCAGCTTCATGACTTGGCAAGGGGGCCTCATCTTCTTCGCAAGGCCGCTGCTCACCTGGCATCTCTCACCCCACGTCGCACTGCTCCAGGCCAACATCTCGGCACCCATTTAATCCGCATCACGCCGCAACCCATCCCAGTACGATTCCACAAGTCGGCTGAGAATCCAGATCGCCTCCAAATGTTTTGGTCCGGGCCAAAGACTGCCCCGGAGATAAGCTTCGAAATCCCCCGCATTGCTTCGCCTACCAGTCAGAAGCAACGTCATTTCCCAATCAAGTACAATCGCCCACATGAACTGTTAGCCAGATCCGCCTCGCCCCATTTCATCGACGCTTCCCCGCCAGCAACACCGATATCACGTGCAAAATCCATGCAACCACCTTCCAACCTCCTGGCTGGATCCCGAGTGCCGCACACCGACTTCAATAATTGCCCGCGCGCGTCTGCTTCCCGCTCGCCACCGCGGAACCTGAAAAAGAATAGATTCTTCGCCTTCGAATGAAATGACGCCCGCCCCACGCCAACACACGCCAACTTTAGCCCATCCTCGCGCACCCCGCGATCACGCCCTATCCCGTCGGACACGGCATAGGAAAACAGCAATGTTTGGACTTCCAATAGAGGCGCGGCTGCAAAGACGCCCTTCACTTTGGAGTTGCACTTGACTTGGCGGGCCACGAGATGGGATCCACACGCAGGAATGGCTTCGTCCCCGTAGCTAGCGTCGATCCACCCCGCGCCAATTGGGCCCTCACGAGCAGCCGCCCAGCACCCCTCTTCCTTTACTTTCTCGTTGGCCTCGTGCTTCCTAATTTTATATATCTCCTCTCCCCGAGCCTTTAACGCGAGATCTGATT